AAAACATATTTTGTGTGGTAGAGTTAATTTTATTCATATGAGATATTAGTTTAAAACCTGTTACCTGTTGTAAGCAGATTAATTCAGTTGCTAGTTCGTCGGCCGATTAATTTCATTTTACGGGGTGACTATTCAGCTTGTGATTAATTAATCTGATTTAACCGTATAGAGGGAGGCTCAATTACCGCTAGATTGAATTCACAAAATGGGTTCACTTTTATGATAAATTAGCCATCAGTGAACCAACCGAATAAGATTTGTTTGTCTATTGTATAAAATAAATAATGCTTCTTGAGAATAAATCTTTGGAAGTGATAATATTACGTAATAGATCAGTACACTTTCATAATATAACAATCAGCTTATTATTGGGCTTAGAGTATTAATGATATTCATTGCTGAAATTTATGCTACAATATTGTTTCTACTATATCTAAGAAAATATCTTTTAAATAAGAACCCTTCAAATGAGCATGGAAAGCATAACGTGTAGATGAATCATACAGCTCACACAAGTTCACAACGGTTTTATTACTGAATTTAATGTAAACAAAAGTTTAGAGCTGTGATATGATAGAAGGTTCTAAGGTGTTAATTAAATCCAGAAACTTTACATCGGAAAATGTCAAGAAACTGAGATGTTATTACCCTTGTCTAATTTTTATTTTTCTCTCATTGAATTATCAGTGGTGTAGAGGTTAAGCCTTCGCGCGAGTGACTGAAGGTCCCAGGTTTGAGTGTTGCGTGCGGGATCGTGGATGAGCACTGCTGAGAAGTTCCGTGGTAGGATAAAACGGCTGTCCAGTGCTTCCAGGTTCTCGGTGTTGGTCTAACATTGATCAGTTCATGGTCCCAATCAAATCTTACTAAATTGCTAAGGCATTAGGACGTTGTAACTTATAATCTCATAGTGATGATAAACATTCAGAAAAGAACTTGAGATCACTTTTTACGTCGTCAACAGAAATTTCACGGTGGAACATTGGTAGGTACTTCTCAGATTATATTTCATAACATATGTTGATCTAATTTACTAGGTTGATAAATACAGCGCTTACTTAGTTTTTTTTTAACATCATATGACTGTATACTATTGTAAACGACAATCCCTGTTTCGTTTTATTTAGCGACTCAGTTGGTTGCATTTGCAACCAGGTGATGTTCACCGCAGACTTCGAATCATCATTTGAGAATACTCAGTTCAACAAACTTGTAACTATAAACAATATCGAGCCACTTCTTCATTGAGCCCATTAACCAACAATGGGAAATTAAAAACCCATATAGTTGGTAATAATCATCAATTTTAATTGAAATATTGATCAGTTTGAAAGTGAACGTAATCCTAAATGTCGAGTGAAGTATTTTTGCTGCACGTGCGCACAAGAAAATCAACAAAATATTTTACAAAAAAAGAACCATTTTTATTCTACATGTTTCTAAGTTATATTTCATTGATTTTGTTGGGAAAATGTTAACTGGTGAATCATAAGCAACGAAATCCCACAGTATCCCATTTTATCAGGAAATTATTTTCTAGGAAAATGCAGCAGATATAATTAGTGAAAGGTTAACCTAAATAGATTGGAACAGTATATATATATATATATATATATATATATATATATATATATATATATGCAGTTTCTTGTATAACACTGATACTTGATCATACATCATATGTTCTGAAAATAATTAAATAATCAAAAATGCTTCACAATGATGATTACGTTGAGACGGAAAGTAATGGAATATTAAAGACCACAAGGACATATTTGGAATGACGTAATTCATAAATTGTTTTCATTCATCAAAATTTTAATGATGGTATTCATAGAATGCAGGCGAAATACATAGTCATAGGTAGCAATATTCTAGATTAAATTATTCCTTATATATATCAGAAGTAGGAATAAATCTTCCACTGCATTCTTTTTTTGAATTTTCATGCTGGGTGAACTTTCCCATTTATTTGTGAAAAAAAGTAATTTATAAAACGTCAATTCAGTTCTTCAAGTATTTCACCTGTTTTAAACGTTTAAAATTTATCCTTATTTTAGTGAGACGACAGCAACAACATGGTAGCACACATTAAGTTGATCATGTATTTTTATCAATAATAAACACTTAAATTTACCAAGATTCTAAAGTAATTTCTTTATTTCCGGCTTGTAACCAGTTGATGAGTATTTGGTGATAGTCGAACTTTGTGCAAGTTTAGTAATAAGCTTTAACATGCTGAATTAACGGCAAATTGACTTTTGCCTCAAATAGGTCACTGAATCTTATAATCAGTGATTCTAAAGTATCTTATTCGTTGGAAAATATACAGGTTCTAGGTTCGAAGCCATGTAAAATTATCTATGTGCAATGCAGGGAAGTTAATTAGGATGAAACAACTGTTGGACTGCTTCTCAAACATTTTTATAACTTTCAATCTAAAATCCGCTTATGGTGAATCATAATCCTAAACAATGTGTTTCTTTTTCTCTGGCTTTTGTAAAATTAGTTAACACTGAGTTCATGAAACATAAACAAGTGGTTTTTTTCAATAATGAGCTGCGCCTAGGATGTATGAATGTATAAATATGAAAAATATTTTATGCTTAAATATGTAAACATAGTCAAACAATCCTGAGTTTATTGTAAACAAAATGTCAGCTATCAAATATGTTGAAAGAGAAAAACAGATTTCTGTTTAGAATGACAGGAGTAAATCTGTCATTCTCAATTTGTATATATTCTTTTCTAAACTAGCCTTATGAATATGTACCTGTACTTCCAGGCATTGCATTGACCATGATAATATGGTAAAGGACTGTAGTGATAATATACATAAATTGTACAACATACATTTTAAACTGCTACAAGTAATTGAAAAGCAATCAACTTTATCAGTGAAGTTTTCTGACTGTATTGTAGTGATCTGTATAATAACCAGTTATATCATTGGTTTGAGATCGAGTTAATCAACTATGAACAAAAAATGATTTGTAAAATCCGACTATTCAAACTGTATCCATTTTGTATAGCCAGGTGTAAAAATTAGTGATATATAAGATCTAGGTGGTTGATTAGGAAATTTAATGAGAAAACGAAGGTTATCAGAATTATGTGATATGTTTGCGCAATACATTTCGAACAATCTGATCACACATATACTTGTTAAAAGCATTTATACATGAAAACTAAAACCCTTAACCTACCCTGGTAACACTAATTTATTATCCAGTGTTTATCACATTGTTTTTGTGTACTTTATTCTCTTTGTTACGGCTTACCTTTAATCTGTCTAGTTGACCTTTTAGTTTTCATATAACAATGTCTTAACAAGTATATCTGTGATCAGATTGTTCGAAAGATATTGGGCAAATATATCACTTAATTCTGATAACTTTCGTCTTCTTGTTGTATTATCAAAGTTTATCAAACGGACTAACTGTTTTAAATAGGAGGTTTAAATGTGATTACACTAAAGCTACAAATATATGAACATTCAAACAGTAGTTGAGTGAAATTCATGCGAACTAGAATGTTGGTTGTCAATGTTTTCAGCTTCCAAGTGCGAATCAAAGCCTTCATAATAAATGATGTAACATTTTGTTTTAATGGCTAGAATTCAGCCAACAAAGACAGTCAACGTGGATGCCATAGAAAATAATGACGGCCGTACCTTCTAAGACAGATAGTCGCAAACAAGGCCATCGGAATGAATTGATAAAGAGTGTGTAATAACTAAAAGTCTTGCTTTTACAGGAATAAGGCGCCGTAGATGTTTTCCAGAATAACATTAAAAGCTTCGCACTTAAGACATTCATTTAAATAAGCTGAACGACACTAAAAGCGTCCACGTGGGTCACAAATTTCCGTTATTATCTCAATATATTTGTATATATGTAGTATTGTATAAAGTAAATTCGTTTGGAGTTTGCTTAATTGAACTAGTTTTGGTGTATAAGCAGCAGTAATAAGACGAGGGAATTTTGTACTTAATCTAAGGATTTTTATTTCGTCGCTGTAAAACGAATCTATGAGCAGAATATGTTTCTATGATGTCATTAAAGATATGTGATGATGATTGGTTATTACAAAGAAACATTTCAGTAAATAGATTTTTATTCATTTTCGTCTGAACACCACATAGGGACCAATTAGTTGTAAGCACCTCAGTCCCACAGGCAGTAAGCTATAGTCCATATAGCTCAGTGGGAATGTCTCAGACTGCAATGTTGAGTGACACGAGACTCAGTCTACCATGAAGCACCAGTTATTATTATTAGTAGTATCAGTGACTTTTTTCAATATTGAATGTTTAGTACAATATGAAGTTTTCAGTAAAGTGTTTCATATACAAAGACAAAAACTAGATAAAGAGACCGATAACTGCATACGGTTACATAAGAATTAAGAAAATAAACTACCTGGAATTAGTGAAATATTTTTGAATAGGATAAGAATTTCTACAACATTTAATGAACAACATGTTTTAGGATACAAGTCTCCTCAAGATTAAAAAACGCCTTGTTGACGTGTTCCAAATGGCATGAAGCATAGGTCTTAAATATCCTGTAAACTGCCTCTAACCATTTAACTTTTTTCTCCACTTGTTTTACTGTGAACATTGGTTTCACCCAAGGCTAACACCAGAATACAATAAAACAGTTTTTTGCTAGTAGATTAGAATTCGAAATAAGAATACAAACACAACATATCTTATCAAACACAATTCTCGATGTGAGAGTATTACCAACTAATCATACAGTCGGAATATAATAGTTTATAACTTTCATTTGCAATCAACTCATAGTCTAGCCCTATAAATATCTAATGTCATTGTATCCCAGCTTTTTTGGCTCCATAATACATGAATCTTCACTGAACGTTCAGGAAACATATTCGGAACTAAGTCAATACAAAGTTCCATTTAATTTTGAATGTATAGAATTTATTACAAGTTATAGATAATTCTCGTAACAAAAAGTCTAAACAACAACACTTACCATCAGCAGTTAATGGAATGGGTTTCGAAGTAAGGTTTAGAATTAAGCTCATCGAGGAAGGGAAAGCTAAAAATGAAGAATGGTATTACTGAAGTGAGTTAAATAAAAGGTGAAATTCAGAGCATAGTAAATGTTAAAATAATTATATATATGCTCATTTTTTAATTTCAGTACAGTTTCACCGAATTAGTAATACGTGGCCGAATTCTGAGTACCATAATCATTACATAAAATCTGACAGGTGTTTTACGAAACTGGAACGAACTATGTCAGCTTTTATGTAGAAAGTCGATGTGTTTCACATTCATTGGATGGAAGTCACTATCTAGTCTACCTTCAGATTCTAACCTTTGTTTTCTACATTTCTCTTATAAGCATAATTTGGAATTAATAATTTCTTGACTACTGATAATACTAAACAGCATAGATCCAAATTATTCTATTCCATTTAATTTGATGATATTTCAGGTCAACAGTAGTAACCTTATATGTTTTTAGTGAAGTATTAAGAGGATATCCTATACTTGTGAATAGCTGATGATGATGTTATATATAGATATACTCACACAATCAATATAGTGATGAGTAATTCAAAATATTTATGTGAGCATATGTTTTTAACGTTGTCAGCTTGCATAAAAAGCTCCGTTGGTATATTACACAACAATAACCTGGTTCCAACAAACAACCACAGTTAAGGCCTTTGGAACAAATCATTCGATGAAAATAGCATTTAAAAGAAAAAAAAACAATCACTACTATCTGCCGTATTATAAATGAGTAATAACCAATTAATCAATGAAAAGTAGATACATCAAAAAAGTGCAAGGAATAGATTACAAGTTGAAGACTAAGATCAAAGAAATTTTTTCTAAATATAAAATCAAACTGTAAAAGTATGCAAAATATGCATCAATCATCAACTAGTTCCTTTAATAATTAATTGTCATTTTAATGTTTTCATTTATTTATTTGTTTATTTCTAAGTTGTGTGAAATTCATTGTATTTTTTAAAAATGAGTACGTGCTAAAAAGAGATTCATGTAATTGAATTCATACTTTGTCAATAAAATATCCATAGGTCAAATATAGTTTTAGATCAGTGGGAAGTTTATTAAATATTAGTATGATAATCAGCATGGGGATTTGTAAAAATTGTAGTAATTCTAATAATTGGATTCATGAGTCGATCTCAGCTAAACCACCATTGAAAACCTGGAGGCACTGCACTACCGTTTCGTACTAGCATGGCATTCTCCGACAGTGCGCATCTAATAATAATTAGGTGTGCACTAGCGACTAGCTTCATGATAGATTTCCTGAGGTTGTAGTAAGAAACTGTGACCAGTGGAGCCTAATCCGTGTTGGGTTGAGACAGTTATTCACCTCAGATAATGGATGAATGGTTTAGTAAGGTCATGGATTGGTTGAAATTGGACGTTAACACGGTTTGATGCCGGCTCAGTGGTCCAGAGGTTAAGCGTTCATGTGCGAGACCAAGGATCTTGAGTTCGAGTCCCGCTTGAGGGATCGTGGATACGCATTGCTGAGGAGTCCCATACTAGGACGGAACGATCGTCCAGTGATTTCAGTTTTTCAACGATGATAAAACCAGCTAAAGCAAACATTCAGAACTATAGGTAACACAAGAAACTGACGGACAGAATGGGTTGGGAAAGAGTATATCAAAAAGAATAAAAATCTTATGATGGTTCTACATTATGCAATTAATAAAGTTATCCGTTAGGTAGTTGGTGGTAGTTGACGAAATACTCCAAAGTGAGGCACGCGACATGAAGATGTACTGAGGTAATTGATGCTTCCCGGCATATTCGATATCCCGTCACACAACTTCACAGACTGAGGTGCTACATTATCTGGGCTGCAGTAGACCTCTTCTGAGACTGACATAATTACATTTGATTATTGATTCAGTAGTGATCAATGTTGTGTTTGTCTAAACATTGTAGGTTTGACAGATTTCTGCAGACCAAGCAGTATTATGGTTAATAATATACGTTATTCAACATTATGTTCATTGTGTTTCAATGTCAGTTATACATAGGGGTAAACGAAAATAAACCGTCAACTATCTTGATTGGTATAAGCATTTTGAAAATATAAGATTAATTTTTTTACACAGTATTTGTTTCCAATTTCATGATTTGAGGGGATTATAGAATACTATGATTGAAATACAGAGAAACTCAAAACCTTAAAATGACAATCTTCTAGAGATAAATTGTTATGTATTATGTCGCTAACATTTATTTACACGTTCTTTGGATGTGAATAAATAGTTTACTAAGTTTTAAAGAAAATAATCACTCTATAACTATGCAAATGTCACTCAGTGAACTCATTTATTAGAAATAAAAGGTAATTGACAAGTTGATGCTATTTGCCTACCATATTCAAAATATTTTGGGGTGATTAAACATTACTTGTACACTCTTTTGATTGATAAGTATATATGACAGTAGTCAGTTCAGAAACTTCTATGGACTAAAAATGAAGTTATTAATTTGCAAACTCTCATTGTAGTATAAAATTTAATTATGTATTTGAGTCTTAGCAAATGACGTAATTACTATAGGAAAGCACGAATCAGCGGTCTGGTTCATAATATTCTACCGTCACCTTTCTTCAGTATTAGTTTGTCTAGTCCTTGTTATTAACCGAATCATTTTGGTAAACCTAACATGCGACCACTTGTTCAGGTGACAGCCTGTTCTCTGTTGATGACAGTCAATAGAACGGTATGGATCTAGTTTCAGAGGTATTTGAAACTGATCAATAAGACTTATTTATAATCTTAAGGGTGTAAGGGCATCTAGTGGAATCCAAGAATAAATCACTCAGTTTCAAAATAAGAGATGTATTTATTAGGGTATTAGGGGCATGGCTGAGGTCCAATGTGTTAGGATAGTCGGAGGAATATACCAATAATTATTGTGTTAAGTCTGTGGTGGCCTTGGACCTTAAATGTACATTTCCTATTGGTCGATGTTTACTTCACTTGTTAAATATTTTGTAAATGTTGTTTCCTATTTTATGGTACGATGTGGTATGCTTGATTGGTATATAAACAAAGTATGTTTGAAATATAATGATTCATAACCCAGAGGCTGTGACTTGCGTTCTTGACTCAACTGGCTAGGGCAGACAGCGAAGCAGGGCCAATCAGGGCACTAGGTCGTCCTTACATGTTTACGTGTCCAAGGCCACCGTAGACTTAACACAATAATTATTGGTATATTTTTCCGACTATCCTAACACAATGCGACCGAGATTTAAACATAACATTTTTTATAGTCACAAGCAGCTACATAGCTTTCTGACGACAGCCCAAACCCCATCATGATGGCCCAATTCTGCTGAAACCTATTTTTTTATACATTTCGCTTAGAATGCACTTAATTTTATTCCACCACTTGGTCTCTACTTATATTGTTAATTAGTACAATAACTTGGACTGTACACTGTTTTACATAATCATAAAATTTCGATGCATTATTCACACACACATATACACAAAATGAATATTGAACTGATGAGAGCTATGGTAAAAGAAGTTTAATTAAAATGAGAACTCAGGTCAAATACAAACTTAAACTTACATCCCGAAATTTCTTCAAAGTCATTTGGTACAAATCGTATCCAATCCTCGATCCCTTGACAGGAATGTATATGAATTCTGTCATATAAAGTGTAAAGCGGATCACCAGTAAATAAACATCTGTATTACAATATAATGGTATATGTTTTTAGCTTTTAAAAACGGATAAAATTTGAACCAACTTAATCGAGTTTATTTGACAATTCCTTAATCAGTGTCACTAAGTGATGGAAAGTAGTTCATTACAGGTAGTGTTGCAAGAAACACTATGTGTATTTCATACCACTCAAAATGTGTCATTTCTAGTGAGAAAAAACCTTTATCTCAGAGACTGATATTAGATTTTAAGGTTGCATAGAAATTTCAGAGAAGAAAAAGACTTCCACAGTGACATCACCCAACTAATTAGCTGATATATATATATATATATATATATATATATATATATATATATATATATAGTCTTTCATGATTATAGAACACATTTAATACACCGTGTGAACCAGATAGATTGGATTAGCTTACAAATGAACAAAATTAATTACTGTTTCAGGAAAATTTTTGATTATAATCTTCCTTTTTAGTCAGAGTTTTTTTAGACTGAAAGTATTCACAAGAAAAATGTACAAACACTCATTTGCGCATATACTCAACCATACACTTGACAGGACTGAATAGATGTGGAACAATGTATGAAATCTGAAAACATTCACTTACCATATAAGAGCAAACAGTGGGTACAGTGTGTAATTTGAGTGTTATCAATAGTGAAGATATTTAAAAACATTATTAAAAATTCTGATCGCTGTAATAATTTCATGTTTCACTTTCACACATAAACACAAGGACATGCTTCTCATAACCGAAAATAGAAAGTGGCTTTAAACTTTATTACAATCAGAATAAATGCCTATGTCTTTACCATTTAATGCATTTGTATTATATTCAATTAATCATATCATAGTTTACTTAAACTTATTACACTTCTCTATCAACTACCTCAATAATCATATCATTTGTTGTAACATGATCAAGACAAATCAAACTTATTTGATAAGCATTTAGTGATCATCGCTGAATGATGCTCATGATCAGCCAAATAGTGTCCAAGCAGAAATTCACCAGAACGATTTACATAAACAGAATAATATTACAACGAGACTCGTTTCGAGAAAAAACGTTCATTACCACGGACATTTGGAGAAAATAGTTTGCATTATTTAAAAGAATCTCAGAACATATGCAAAGGATTTTGATACTGAACGACTTTAAACTATCGAGTGATAGCTTAGGAAGATTATCAAAATAGGCCATTCAGCAGACCTTGATATAGATTTGGAGTGATAAAATGACAAAATAATAGAAGACTTCTACCCTAGACAGAAGCAGATGTTATTCGTTTTCTCAACCCTAATTTCTAAGTAAACCATCAGTTTTAACATTTTGTCTGCCAGGTTCATAATAATCCGCAGGTACTTCTTGTAATCGATTAGATAATCGCCTTGTTATCACTTGCAGATTCCATTCGTTTATAAATCGAACTTGTATTGATATAAAAAGTAGTTATAGATGGTTTTGCAGGTGAACTAAGTGATTTTATCCATATTACACATAACATTACATTGACTAAATATTTTATTTATCTGTAAAGACTGCTGTGTGTTTTGAAGTTTTACAGTAAACGAAATGGTTTCTAAAAGTTTATCAAGAGAGTTAATTACTTGATCTATTTTCACTGAAATAGAGTTTGCTAACGCAATGAGGATCTATATATTTTAACATCAATAAATCAATCTTTGACTTATTGATTTCCTCACTTTGTGTTCCGCCTTAACCAACGTACCATTCTAAATTGTTCATGAATTGAATGAATTATTTAATTGAATATATAGTGATTTAGTTGGTTGAAGTTGTACTGCCTAAATTTAATAGTTCGCCAGAATTTGTATACAAAATCCAATTTAGTTTTGTTTATTCAATTCTTTTTCGATTGTCTTTTATTTAGTTAATCAACTTAATAAATCATAAAATTCTCTATGGCATAAATATTCGTGTATTAATGGTTTATTTAAAATTGTAATTCGTAAAGTATGATTAAAAGTAGTTGATTGTTGAGAATAAATAAGCACTTTTACGAAAGATCACCAATAATACTTCCTTAATTAATGTGTCCATTAAATAGGCAACGAGATTTCTGCTTAAATTTAGCTTTTTCTTGCACCTCTGTAATATGAAATAGGACAGTTTTACGATGTCATTATATTCATGAAATATATTGCTTAAAATGACCAAATATATCCATTTAATCTAACTACTATTACTCTAGATAACAAACGCATACATACACAAATAGAAGAAAGAACAAATTAATTTGGTAAGAAGTAATCCATGATATAGAAATGTTAAATAAATATTCATTCTGTTAGACTCAGAAAATAGTGTGAAATATTATATGAACTTAATTCCCTGTAGTTTACAGTATATTCCTATTTCAAAAGGATCATACATAAAGACTAAAAGACTATGTACGTTCATGTTTAACAATCAAGAACTCTAAAAGTTAATCTACTTGAGCTGGTTTTATACTTAATGTAGATTACAAGCCGTAAGAATTTGTATGTCTCATGCAACCAAACCCATGAAAATTCATATGAATCGTCCTAATACATACATTTAACTGTTTTGTTAAACTGTTGGATATTATTTACAATTGATTCATCTCTATGTGGTGACCAATGTCATGTGGGTCAGGTCCTTCTTAGTGCAGACTGAGTTCCATCGACCAAGTTGCAATGTGATCACTAGTCTAGGTGACTCGACATCAGGTGCACTATACCGAGGTGTAAGGTGGTGGTTGGGAATAGTCGACAGAAAACCCTAGACAGGTTTCTCAGGTAGCATCAGTTTTCTAAAGATTACAGATAGATCTTGGTGACAAGTGCCAATCGGCAGAAAACCTAGGTCCAGGGTCGACTACCGTCAACCCCTGCCTTACTCTGGATATTACTTCGTGATACAGCCTATCCAAAATTCTGATTATGGTGAGAACATAAATTTTTCTATTAATTTTATCATTCACTGTTTATTTTGAATACTGAGTTAAATTGAGTAAATCCTACAAGACGTAAGTCAGTGAAGTGAAATTGATGAACTGACAATGCATTTTATCATAGCTCAGATAAGCTGAGAGTTTGATGGAAACAAAAAACAAATGTCATTTCTGTTGTGTACAAGGTTCGAGCTCGCTGTTACGGATCACCAAACTTTCCACTTCTTCAAAGATTGGGAACCGAAAAAATCGTTATAGATTTCAACGAATTCAATCAATAACTTTTAGCCTAGTATGTAGAATAGTTGCCTGATCAAGATTAACTGAATATTCAAATAGTAAACACCCAATTTTTTTTCCTAGTATCCTTATCGAACATACCTGAAATGTTTTCCCATTTTTCATATATTGTAGACGTTTTGTAAAGGTGTATTTTAACGGTTTACACCATTCAACTCTCTCTCTATTCATATACATATATATATATATTTTACACTTTTGCATTCATTGGTGATGACAAAACTATGTCCAATTGAATAAGGCATAATGTATTTGAAGAATGTCATCTTAATATTTCGATTATTTGTATGTTTATCTACGTATGTGTCAAAGTTAATGTGCAGTATTTGAAGTCAAACATTTCTTACATCCCATGAAGTAAGTAAAAAACAAAAAAAACAACAACAGTTATTCAGTGAAATATGGGTTTAAGATTGTTGATAAAATTCATTGTACAAAATGACTGAAGATATTTATACTATTCCCATTCAACCCAATATATGTAAATTCATGGAAATATACAGTTGTATGTTTATTATTATTTTTTTTTAAATGGAGTTTTCAAAAATGATTAATTCTATAGCAGACAGTTTGAAAAAAAATAATAAAAGCAGTAGGATACTTGAAATAAGAAAAAAAATTTTTGTAATTTTTTAAATTGTTGTCATGTAAAATAAATGATTTTGAAATATTCCCACCCTCCCCTCTCCCAAAAATATTATGTCCATATTTGGTTGGGAAATTGATTTATACAGAATGAAGTATGATAGTTTAATAAATATTTTATTTTATTTGAATAAGTCGATGGATATTTATTCTGTTTGTAGTAAATTAGATTGTTATTTATAAAAATAAATAGTAGGGATAAGAATGATGTCAACTGAATATTGATCTATAAAATAAGTTTAGGATATTCACAAAAATGATGCAATTGTATTCTTTAAGTAAAATAATTTATTTCAGCCAAAATTGTAATAAATAGACTTAACTACTGCTTGATTCAGGGTGAAGTATAGTAGTGTTTATTCATTAAACCTTATGAAAGCATAATCTAGCTCTTATTCGAGGTGTGTTCAAGCCAGATTAGTTGGTAAAGCCTTATCTGAGGAGAAATGTAGGCTCTTGTGCAATGGATTCCGTGTTTTCAGGGCTTACAAGCCCATCGTGTGGATGTGATTTTGTGAGGAATGTCGGTCCTGCAGGTTTTCATATGTAGGTATCGTAATAAGAAGAGCAATTAAATGATTTTTGAAGTTTTTACTTACTCTGGATAGGTAGAATCTGTATGTATAATATGTAACAAACGGACTTTCATCTGAGTATTCTTTGATATATATACAGGTATACTTACCCTGTGAGTAAATATACATTACATGCACACCGGTAACACACAGGTTTTGATCCCTTGCATCCCATAGCATACATATAGGTATATTCACCCACTTGGGAGGGTAGTTTTTTACCGCTCCCTATGAAACGTAAGTGCTACAAAAGACTGTCTTTTACTCATTACACGTCTATCGTTCAGCTCATGGCTACCGCCCTGGTACTTCCTGACACACACAAAAGCATAGGCATTCTCTCGGAGGAGGTTGTTGGTCGCCTCTCCCTAGTATTTTCTACCATATCTTTTTATTGTCTTTGACCGAATAGATTAGGCCGCTAATTTTATTAGACGCAGGGCAGACATAATTTCTGCTAACGTTTCCTTTGTAGGACACTACACACATACCCTTTGCATATAACTACATACATGAACTACAAAGACCTGGGGATTTCTGAAATTCTTATACATAAGCATATTTATCAGCTAGCTTGGTGTGGTTATGTGAGCCCCCAGTTGAATTCCTAGTTAGTCAAGGATAAAACGGAGTTGGTCCGACTTCCATCGACTAGCTAAGTTGTCAAGCAAGGTTGCCCCTACTATCCTGCAGTGAGGACGCCTTAGGTAGGATTTTGTTGCAGTAACATGGGACCTAACTTGAAAGGTCCTGTGAGTACTCCATGAAGTCTACAAGAATTGCCTACTTCTTGAATCATGCACTTGAAGCATATTCATTTATTTTTACGATAACAGCAGAGGTCTAAAGAAACCTGAGGAAGCAGTTAAGTACTAAGATGGTGTGCACTACTTATGTGGACAGATATAAGTAGTATGTAGCAGGAATGGGAAGCGGAATGCTTACCAGCACAAGATTGAAGTAAAGAGGAAAGGAATTAAAACATAGAGCAATCGGAATAACAACAAGATTGAAAGGATGATAGCATATATAAATTACAACTCAACGAAGATGTACAGGTGATGTATTTGACGTATAATTTTGATATTTTACAAAGGGACTTTTTGATTTTGCATAAAACATAAAATTGGTTTGCCGCACCTGAGTTCTCGCTCACTCTATGCTAAGTGGATTAATAACAATTCATCATGAATCGTTTTGTTTTACACAAAAGTAACCGACATTTATTTACTGATATCTATTGATTACTACCATGGTCAACGAGTTTCAAAAAATTGTACTGGTTATCTAAACTGAAAAACGATAATTTAAATTAAATCATCATTGCTTTATATTGTACATAACAGTGGAATTTTGATCGATGCTCTGTCAATTTCAATAGCTGAGATCATGAGTCAATTGAAGATAGACCACCATAGAAAACCTTGAAGCATCAGACGGCCGTTTCATCCTATTGTTGGACTCTTAAGCAGTGCGCATCCATGATCCCACCTCGTGAGTTTCGATATCACTTGAACGTTGAATTACATATCATATAGTGCAGTTTTACGTTATAAAATCGGACTGTCCAAATTTTTCAGAGTCTAAGTGCTTAAAATATTTTTCTCTATACAAATTATGCTTTACTAATTATCACTAAAGGTTATTATTAGTGTAATTAAAAAATGACACTTAGCCAGTTCCAATGGAATGAATAAATATTTATTACGAAATAATAAAACACAAAACATTAAAATTATAAACTGGCTGGGTAAAATGTATCCTCTAAAACCATTGACTTATATTATGATACTACAGAAATGTACAATATTGAAACAAGACATAGAAACAATGACATTAATAAACTTAATTAGAAAAGTGCTATTTGAGAAACCCATATACTTACCGAAATAGTCGAATACGTTTCAAAGGATAACTTCTGGAATGGTAGGCCAATATTATAATATCACCACTCAATTGTAGACCAATATTACGATTGGAGTCAGATTGGAAATTCAACACAAGATTTGCAGAATCAGTTCGTTCGTATTCGCTTGTAAAAATTTAAAAAATTAGGCATTTTGGAGTCGATAGAATTAAAAATCGTATAGGATAAAAGTTTGCCTAAACTCTCAGTCATTTTGAATGTCTACAGGGGAAGTCTGAATACTTCACAGTAATGAGACCATGTCAGTATAAACATTCACAAAGTACTAGAATAATGAGCAATTTAACGACACTAATAGGCGTCATCAGTGATAAAGTTTTAGACTAGCAACCTTCATATATATATAATGTTTTAAAGACTTGTCCAGTTCGCAGATAGCTTTCATCATTGAGCAAAATCATATGGATAATTACTAAGACATATAAGTCACTGAATAGATAATTCTTAGTTTATAGCTGGTCATTAGTGCAAACTGATGATTACATATACGATCGAACCTAGAAACCCTATGATCATCTATGCGGTAAGACAATAATTAATGGATGAACTACACTTCGGCTACGTATTGTATAAATTGATATGATAAACTACTGTGATACCCCACCTCGTTCAAACTGTCAGTCACAGTTTCTTATATCATTTTTGAGAAATCATAATCAAAGCTATTCATTGAAAAGACAACACTAATTAATGTGCTTACTGAGAGATATGAAGGGCTTCTGTTTAATCCATCTATGATTACTGGATGTGTAATTCTGAAGAGAAGTACTCAATTTAACAGAAAAATCTGTCTAATGCTCTTGAGTTATTCAAGGTTCTTTAATTGATATCAGTCCTTGTTGATGAGTAACTATGAACTCAAATTATTAAGTAAAATATCATTTAATACATACAAGTAAAAACTAATTATAAGAATGAGGTTGTGGAGATTGTTGAGTTTTTCGATTGAGATCATGAATAGATCAATATTAGACCATTTAGTGCTTCCAGGTTTTCAATGGTAGTCTAATATTAATTGATTTATGATCTCAATCAAACAGCGATGTATTAGTTGTTCTACAGTTTACTACATTAAAAACATATACTTACTAAAGGTTAGTAGTATACATATGTACAGGAGGAGAACCAGTATAGAATTTAAAGTATAACCTTAATTTATTTTTTTCAAAAACAGGAAAATTATATAAATATATTTGATAGATATGTAATGGTGCACGTAGAATGTATAAACTGTTAGTTGGTGAGAATATTTCCATATAACCAGCGTATCTATAATAACAAAATACATAAATAGAACACTTCAAACAATAAATCTAGATATCAATATTTGATAAAATATAAATCATATGATACTATTAATAATTAATGTTTACCTCTTTAAAGTAATAAACAACTATTGTGACAGACATTCAACTATAATATGGATTCGCTTCAGTTGGTAACAAATTAAAATAATCATATCAGTAAAATAAATCCCCGTTTACAATGAATGTATTGATTAAGTTTAGTGAAAGTATAAAAGCAGTCAATAAAGGTGGGAGAATTCAAGAAGTAATTTATACAATTAACTGTTGGTTAGATAAGCATATGAATATTCTAAAAGACAAAATTGATTACAATTACAAAATGATTTACAAATGAGGGTATTATCTAATAAATTATGAATCTTAATACTGGGAGATTTAGTGATCGATTCAATGGAGCATGAATAAGAGAATCCTCTAGAATCAAAAGATTTAAATCTAACTTGTTTGTCAGGTCAATCTGTTTTATGAATGTAATTAGATAATCAATGACTTTGTGAAGTAGGAACAACAAATCTTCCACACGTGTACTAATTGATAAACATAAATAAAATGCATTACAAATGTAATTTTCAGTAAAGGGTTATTGAAGTGATTGAATGTTATTGGGATTTGAGTTAAGCAACCAATGAAAACCTGTAAGCAATGGACGGTTCTTTTCATCATGGTGTGGGATGCCTCAGCAGTACGACTTTATGTGTAACATGCATAAAATTACTTAATTCACTGGTAAATTATCTTTAACTACCTTCTATTTTTATACAAATTTGATTTAGGAAGAGATGGAATAAACGAGAGATAGAGGTGGTGATGCAACCGATTACAAGAGACACATATGAACTGTTATTATCGCGGTGGACAAAATAATGATGAAGTTATCATGATGACGTTGATGAAACTAGTAATTGGATATCATAGTAATGATAATAATGATGATGGTAGTAACAATTATATGAGGAACAAAGAAGGGATTTTCGAATCACGTTAAGGTTACAAACTGGTCATATCTCTTCATGCTATACGTCGAAAACTTATTTTGACGAATTCATAATAACTCGTTTTTACTTAATTAGTTATTTTGATATGTATTCGCCTATTTTTAGCTTTCGTTGTATTCCTCAAGCTGACGCTGACCCAGTGGTTATAATGGTAATCTCGAGGTTTTGGGTTATACTCACGGTAGGATGATGGATATACAAAGTTGTGGTAACCTATAATAGGGTGAAAAAGGTGTCTAGGGCTCCTCTGTTCTCAATAGTACCTACATTGAAAGCAATCTATGACTTAGACAACCTATAGATTTAGGCTAAGAAACTCCTTAAATTATAATGAGATTTGAAGTCAATGTGTGGGAAAACATGATTACTCGAATGCCTCAATTAATCCGGTTTCAAAAATTTTATGGAACAATCTCAAAAAGATAACACTAGTTATAATCGTCATGATTGAGGAATGAAATTTGGCTAAAATGAATAATGAAGTTGTTAAATGATGAATGGAAAGGTCAAGCAAACAAAATATAATGCTTTGGTTTTCATCGTTTGTCTCAGAAAACAAACCTTTATTTACTTCTATAATTTGTTCGCTGCATTAATGCCTACTCCTTTTCTGAAAATCTTTTAAATATTATTATACCAAGAAGTATATCCCATTATAGGAAATTTAAATTCTTATTAATGAACACAGTAAGTAAGCACCCCCCTAACTGCAAATGATTTACATTAACACTGTTGGTAGTAACCTTAACTAATTCGAATAATATCTAACACGAACAGTACGTCATAAGATAACCTGACACATGTATTATGATAGACCTGACTGGCCTATCGCAGTAATCATTACTTCTGATGTTCAGTGCCCTTTGATTCAGCCGTACGTTCTCTAGTTGTACATGAAAGAAACTTAATTTGTTAGTGTGTAGGAAATGACCTCAAATGAAGCGTTCGTATATCAACAAGATGTGCATTTAAAAAAATTAAAAATTCCTGTCTGATGCCTTTCATTACCGCAATATGTGTGAAAAATGTACTTAGTAAACAATTTTTAAACCAGAATACTCCAAACAATTTGATATCCCATATGCCTTCCGAATTATAATATCCACTTTTTATGTCCGTCTCTAGCACTTCTAGAGCTACTGTTGGTTTCAAGCCCGGGCGTGGGTTCGGCAACCACATCCCGTAGAAAACAACCTTGCTAAAATTGTTGACTAGAATAAATAATTTAAATAATATAGACTCTGTGCTGGGAGTTGAAGGAAGAATTATGACGCCTCATGATGAAAGCCGAGATTCTTCGGAAGTCAGTAGACCGACACCCCTTCTAACAATTAGAGCAACAATTGATATAGGTACATGGAATGTCCGGAGAATGTAGGAAACCGGGAGGACCAGTCAAACAGCAACGAAAATGAAGCGATACAACTTGACAGTACCCGGTATCAGAGAAACCCATTGGACCCAAGCTGGACAACAAAAGCTAGATACTGGAGAGATGCTGCCGTACTCCGGTTACGAATTCAATGAACAACTCTTCTATTCCGTACACATTAACAAATTCAGATGAAGACAGCTGGTTTGGCGGCAGCATCTGCAGCAGTAGGCTTCCATATACACCATGTGAAAACCAACATCCTCGAGTAGAACTCGGCGAACACCAACGCAATCACACTTGATGTAGCAACTCTGTAAGAGGTGGAAACTTTCACTTACGTGGTCAGCATCATCTATGAATAAAGAGGACTTGATGAAGATGTAAAAGGCGAGGACTAGTTGAAGAACATTTGGAACTCAAAACAAGTCAACCAATAGCAAAGTTAGAATCTTCAATACAAATGTCAAGACAGTTCTACTGTATGGAGCTGAAACTACGAGAACTACCACAACCATAATCGAAAAAATACATAAATTTATGAATAATTGTCTATACATGATACTCAATGTCCGTTGACCGGATACCATCAGCAACAGCCTACTATGGAAGAGAACAAGCCAACTTTCAGATGAGGAGGAAATTGGGAAAAGACGTCGGAGGTATATAGGACATAAATTAAGGAAATCATCAAACTGCATCACGAGATGAGCGCTTACGAAATTAAATTAATATTTGCTAGATTGTTATAACAAACCAATTTGCGAATATATTGTAACTTGGCTCTTAGAACTTCCTCAATATTTAATAATAGACGGAGTGAAATTGATTAATATTCAGTGTAACCACCTAAAAGATATCTCATTGGTTGTCTCTTTAAATAGTTGATGCAGATCTAAATTTCTTCTGAGAATTAATTCTTTCCAGACTACATGTACACCTTTCTGACAAGCTCCAACTGACATATATTTAAATTTCATAACATCTCACCAACTGTCTCAGAAGTTAATACTGCGTTATATAACACATAATCAAAATTGGCATACTGATTAAACCCGACGAGTTATATCACGTTTTTAAGTTGCTTGGTTTATTAGATACAAGCATAGATGAGCTCTTTTGAATAACTGTATCACTCGCATAGTTGAGGTAAACCCCTCAAGATCAATCTGTTTATGAAAAAATACATGAAAGTAAAAATTGCTCCGTCTTTCTATGTAATCTTGTATTCCATCTCTGACATATCCAAATAATCAATTATAATAGGGTATCTATGGTGGACGAAAGGAACCACAAACCAATATACGTGATAAATTTTATTGATCAAATAATATAGGAGTTTTTCAACCATATTTGTGTATGCTAACAGCATTCTTTACAATTTTAAAACTTATGAAGGCCTTCACAATATCAAACTATTTATCGTCTTCGTTACACATGTCATTAAAGCTAAAATTTGTTTCTTTTTAAACTAAGAACACAAAAAACAAATAGCTCATCTAAACTTCACTTTCCCTTTTGTGATTCCCATTTTAAATTTACTTAAAAGGTTTTTTAGACATTCATTGATTTATGTATCTGTCAAAAAAGAAATCAATTTTTAAAAGTAAAGTTTTGTGTAACATTTTTCTTTGTACGGACGTCAAACTAATTCATCCCACCTTCAAAAACACCAATATTAAATTACGATGTTTTTTGTTACATTCTTTTACATGCAAGTTATTATAATTTATTCTGTTATTTGGTTTTTCTATAGAGCTAGCAGTTAATTCCGTAGTTGGTCGGTTTTATACTTTTGGTTTTACACAGGTATGACTACTTATTTTTAATTAGGTAGTATGAATACTTGTTTATTTCACTGACAAAATAAAGTTTACAAAGTTCACATAAAATTTGATAATTTTGTTAAATGATCACTCAGTCTGCATATATATACGTAAGCTTTATATGCTATGGGAAGGAGGAATGTAAGCAGCACATCTTAATACTGGAATTATTTACGACTATTTTGTAATTATTTGATCATTATATGCTATATTTTTATTGAAACTCAACAGTTGATAGTGTTTAAATTTATCCATGTTTCGAACCAAATATTGGTATTTCGATAGCCATCTCTCACTTAGAGTCTCCAGAACGGTTTGTTTGGTATGCATTTCCTCTATCTATTGTAGAATGTGACTTCGTGATATATTAGGTGGTTGTCCGTAGGATAACCTCAAACCAAGTTTCTCGTTAATTGATAAACCCCAACAAGATATATCTAAATTTCGATAAGATTAATGATCTGTATGGGATTTGAACCCACGTCAATAATCTGGACAATTATGGAAATTGTTTCTGACACAATTGACGTTCTGCAGAAATGAAAGAAATTACAAACAATTGGTCACTGTTTAATGACTAATTTCACGTTTCTCTAATTACTGGTTGGACTCAAATGATAAAGTGATCATTAGAATACTATAGGATCAAAGTATCTAAACAAGCTTCGGTTCAATGAATAATCGGTAGTAAACATTGTGACTTTCCAACTTTTCTGAGTTTAAATAATGACCACTGGTTAATTTTCAATGTAATTTTACGAAGGATTCGTCAGTCAGATTTAAAAAGCTTCACTTGTATCAACAATCTGATCGATGAAGAGAAACACGTATATATATACATTATAATATTAGTCTATTGGAAAACTAAAGTAATTATTCCATTAACTGTATAGAGACTGCGTAATTATCTAGAGTATAAGAAAAGGTAATTCATGGATCATAGTCTCATGAATGTCCCTTATTATTTTTAATAGCAAACATTTGTTAAACAAGATTACCAACTTCAACCAAATAGCATCACTATGGATGGAAATATTTCTGCAGTTAGTCCAGATAGTCAGCGAATCGTGAACCGAAACATAAACGTAAATATTTCTGACAATCTGTTTTACTACTAATATTGATGCTAGTAGCAATAGTTAAAATCTGAAAGAAGTAGAGCAAAAATACCCGGACTTTCAAAATGAATTCAAAAAATCATTTCAATAATGAAAATGTAACAAACCTCATCCAACCAACCGGAACATGAGAGAAGCCATTAAGATGGGAGGAGATATAACGTCGTAGAGAGTAATTTTCGTGATTCCGGTATCTAAACGAATATAAAGGTGTATGAAGTGAAATTTACTCTTATGCCTTGAGAAACATTTCATTTCTATCCAACCCATCAATAACTGTCACCTTTAAGATCAGTATTATTGATCATGACTTCGTCCGGATATTTGTTATGTTTACGAACACTACTAGCTGTGATAAACGCTGAGGAACGCTAACATATTTTCACATATGGCTAGCTTATGTAACCATAAATGCCATTTTGTTATGATTGGTTGTTCAGAACAAACTAGAAAAAACGGATATAATTTGGGCAGAAAATCTTTTGTATCGAAAATGATGCATGAATAACCTTAATTTTGAACTACCCAATGTAGACTCACAACACTGCAGCAATCAAAACACATAGCTCTTTAAAACTGTTGCAAACTCGATACTCTTAGAATATTGAAATGAATGTAACTGGTTCAAATTTTAAAGTCATTTAATCTATGAGATCTAACAACCTTTTGTTAGCCTTTTTGTAGTATAATAAGCCATGGGTGAATAGTTCTGTGAAGTTCTAAAATGAAATGAATCAGATATTCATTACTCAAAGCTTTTTAATATTTTTCTTCGGCTTATAGATAGTAAACTACTTTTGAAATTGAAAAATAGCTATAATAAACAACTCCAGCATTTCTGTTAATAATGAGATAAGAATACTATTAATTGTGTTCTCTGATAACAATTTTAATGGCTTGGGATTTCACTACCTTGAACAATTTCTCATTCATTAATAATAATATTACACAAAACGTCAATAGCAAATTGAAAAAATACGATGAAATTATATATAGTGAGAAAATTAGTGAAATGCTCATAGACAGTACATGAGAAAGTTCATTCTTCAATTATCAAATATTTCATGATGATGTTCAGATTAATCTCATGCTAAATCTGGTACAAATAACCGTTTCACTCATAATAAAACCCTTAATATTACATAGGATAGTAAGATAAAAAGCGAAAAATGCACTATTTTATATCTGTTAGTAATTGACTGTAGATACGTCTTCTCTTACCTTGAATGGGAGCGTTATAATCAACTCATATTACGTATATATAAGACATAATTCACAAAATGCAATTTTTAACATTAACCGTCTAGATAAATACGAAACGTGTTAGTCAATCATTTTGTTATTATTTAACCTTCTGTTCTGTGGGTTGTTTTATATTTAACGCAAGTAAATTCTGTGTCATAGTGAAATTCAGAATATTAGTTAAAAAATGTTTTGAGTTTCTGTCCTTTTTTTCGCACAAGGTATATCCTATTCAATACCAAACAAAGTGATTTTGAAGTGGTGGAGGAGATTTGCAGCTCAAATGGATGATTTTGATGGACTTCTACCTGAAGTTTGTGCTGATGATATCGTTCAGAAAGACAATGAAAGCTCCACGAGCAAACCAGCTCAGAGAACAAAGCTCCATCAGAAAAGTGATTTCGATTAAGGAAAACTATTTTACATTGTTTTCTCTTTACTTCTTTATGTCAAAAATATATTGACTTCGAAATACATCTGTATGTTTGAGAATAAATACATTGATTACTTTATTAGAATAGTATTGCCTTACATTTCATTGTTTTAAACAAGTTCTATTCATTGGGCCGACAAATTATGATTTCATTTTCTTCCACGAAATTGATTCAAAAGTTAAATATACTTTATTCATATGCTTAAACATTGAGAATAATTCCCATTTAATTAGTTTTTCTTATATTTGTATTGAACAAAGGCTTTAAAAGCTATGAACTGCAGAATTATACATGACAATGTGAGTTATGTGTCGTGACATTTCACAAGCTAATTTGTTTTATAGAAACCATCATTGTATATACATACCAAAAGTCATCTATTAAATAGAACAAAATGACTTACTTATTAATTGATCCATAGAATGAATCCAATGCAAGAACAAGTAACATTAAACGAATTTTTGCTTGTTCACCTTCAGCATGAAGTAGAATTATGTGATATTCGTCTAGTGCTAACCAATCATAAACTTTTTGACAAAATACAACCATTGTTGCTAAATTAGGAAAGCTTGTTAAAGAGAATACGCAATTTTGAACCTGAAGTAAGGGAAAATAATAAAAAGTTAAATAAGGCTTTCGTCGTCTTTACTTGTAAAGAACATATCACAAGAAAATAAAACAGTTTTACACTGAAATCAATAGATTTACAACGGAGTAGATGTGGTAGTTATTAGGACGGAGTAGTATTGTAACTCAGTATATTCATTATATTTGTCCGTTGTTGTAATTTAATCTTACGATGTTTACAAACTATGGGTATACACTATAAGTTATTAATATTTTAGTCATAATACTCCGTTGAATTTATTTAACATTTGACTATTTTTTGGTGTATAATAAATCATATGAATTTCACCTTTCGTCTTTCTCTCAACCGTCATATCAACATTTTTACAACCATCAATGTTTTCAATATACACATTTACACCGGACCGTGATATACAATCTGCCTGCAGTCCCTCTGGGGCTACTGCCGGTCCCAAGCTCGAATAAAGTAGGACGGTAGGGAATGGGGTTAGTGACCCCAACCCATAGAGAACTAGCTCGCTAAAAAACACAATTATTACAATGATAGAAATTATTTGTTTGATGTCCATTGATTCTCTATTAGTTTTATTCTTACTTTCTAGTGAATACTGAAACTCATTTGAAATATCTAGACAGACCTTAAGTGTAACACTTAGTTGAAAGCTTACTTTGAGACTGTAAAATGATTAAGAAAGAAATTAATTTGCAGATTGTAAACTACAGTTTATACTTCAAGAAATTACACGCATATTTTTAAACATAGTTTTCCCTCACCACAGTTGTCTTTTATTACAGTCGCTAATTGTATTAGTTAGTTTGTATTATGGGAAATCTTTGAGCCATGACGTGTTTAGTCAAAGTTAATTTTTTCCCACTAATATGAAATATTAAACTTTGAATATGCTATTTGTAAAATGATCCAAATTTAAGTACTGAATAGGATGATTTATGATATTTTTTCAATTGACAAACGTATCCGATTAAAAATAGTTAATGGAAAGCGATCTATTAGATCTTCGTAATGAATATGTAAACCAAATCATATGAACAAAATGTCAGCAGAGTTTTGTAGTCCCTGATCAAATTAGAGATGAAAACTCTCTGTAGTCTAGCTAAATGTACGTTTATCGTGTACCAATAAATCTGTCTTTCTGGGTTTCTGCATAACTTTATATATATTTTTTTTGTTTATTCACTGGTAGTGAACAACTCATAGTTACAAAACGTATATTCAGGGAATGAAACTATATGAAAACCACTTAGTCTAATTCAGTAATCATCTCAATAATGAATGTACAGGGGTTTTTGAACCCCAGTCAGTATAAAACGAATTTAGTAGTCAGATTAGGGACTTAAATTCAAAGTTAGTCTGTGAACTTTCCGTTAATTTACTGAGTATAACTTTTGCGTGGTTATTTAAATGACTGAAATTTATGGTGGTTATTGCCCAGAAGACGTCCAGACAAGATTATTGGACGAAATAACGGAATTATATATATTTCAAACACTGGGATAATTTTAAATATAATTTTTACATATTCTGAATTTTAGTTTGTTTTACCCACTTTTTGAAATATTCTGTCCAAACGTAAATTAGTTTGTGAACAATTGAATACCTATTGGAAAAGAAAAGAAATATTCGAACAAAGGAACAATTCTTAATTCTTACATACAGTATATTAGACGGACATTTAACATTTTAATTGCAGTTTGTTACCTCTGTGTCGTTTAATATTCATTCATCTGACAAACGTAATTATAAGCATTATACTATGTAAACTATTTGGATCACTGAGAGCTATTTAGTTGGTCATCTTTTGTCATTTTTAACCATAATTCTTTCCTACTTTCGTGAAAACTTTGTTTCACCTAATATTCGGTTAGGAATTTGTAATTTCTACTACAAAAAATCAAGTTGATAAATTTTAGATAATCGTACAAATAATCAGCACATGTGCGCTTAACTCTTGACACTACTATTCTTAACCTTAAAAGGATATTAATCTAACTGAAGACACACATCAAGATTTGTTCAAGAACAGGAACCAAATATTTCTATGTGGTTACGATCAACGACTTTCCGTACGAATCGCTTTATCTGCCAACCAGAAGCTTACATCTTTCAGCAGTTAATGTAATTCAGATCTACTGATCCATTTTCACATCTTTTATTTGTTTGACGTTCAGTGTTTAGTGCTGGTAATCTCGAAATTAAGCTTACAACTAAAGTGCTATTAAATACAGAACTACGTATTAGCAGATGTTCAATATACTATTCCTTTAATAGGCAAGTATCATTCGTCCCCAGAAGTGTTATTCATTAAGTTATGTTGAATTTTTCAATCAAGTGAGTTCTTTATCATTTATCTGAATTATCATTTCCATAGCATATAAACATTATCTACTTAATACCAGATGAGTCATTTATAATGAAACAAAATTGTTGTGGTTATAATTTTGTCTAATGAATCACTCAGTACAGGTTGTCAATAGTTAGTTTGTTGTTTAGTCATTTTTTAAAATTCCTAATTACCTATCATTAAAGTAAAGTAATTGGTTATCGATCTTCCAAATTCATAAGAAAAGACTGATACTATAAATTATTCTGTCCAGCCAATAAATCTATTTAAAGCCATTCTGGTATAAACAGGCATTCAGTACCACTGACATTCGCAGGGCAAGTGAGAAACTTTAAATGTATTACATAGATATAATAATCTACATTGATTGCAGATCAAATTAGGAACAAGGAAGAATATGTAGTGGCATTGGACAATAACCACACAATCCCCAAAGCTGGACACGAGACTACTCGGAAAATAGATATTCAATATTTAACGCGGAGAAATACCTAACGATGGAGAAGGTGGGAAGAAGGTATTGAATGAATTAGAGTTGATCGAACGGCATGGCTCAGCCATCCAGGCGTGGTCCATCTGAATGGTACCTTATATCTTCTATTCATATTAAATATATTGTTCTTTCTCTAGCCTAACCTTGTTCTACATCATGTTTTGGTAATTGATACGATACAGTGAGTTGGCGTAGTCGATGGTGTGACTTCCACGTAAGATCTTATAGATTAGGCAGTTATATCATGACAAATCTACAATTTTAGGATTAGGTCTATTATTAGAGCAGTACTAATATCATATCATACCATAATTCTACAAATACATATACCATTATCTTTAAAGCATTATCAACTTAAGTAAAGAAACGGCGCCTATTAAGTAGAAGACCATTCGTCCAGATAAATAAACTATGGAAGAAACATTCTCTAATAAACGTTAAATAAAATCTTGATGTAACGTGTAGTATTAAGCTCTTTATTTGATGATTACTGTGTTGGTTATACTAAAACATAAGACACTTTAAAAATCCTATAAATGTAGGAAAATTGTATTATAACTGTATCTAGTTGACACTGTTCTATATTACATTAAAGAAAGTAAACCAAATACAGTTTTAATTATGGTTCAGTGGTAAGAATAACAATCTATATTTGATTTACGACTTTACACAACCGATTTAAAGCTGAATTTTATTGTAAATATAAATAAGCCTATAAACTACATTCATTCATACCTTACATTATTGATTTATGGCATTATGCATTATCAGGATACAATTTTTTTATTAGTTAATTATAACTAGCATGTTAAATTGTCAACTAAATTAATATTATTATCAGTCGATGGTTAAGACTATATTCAAAATGTTAATTATATTTTAAGTTCTTGAGATAGTAGAGAAGATTCGTAGTTCACGTGGATGATTTTGATGGACTTTTGTTCTTTGACTTGGATAGTTTGGTCGTGGAAATTTCATCGTTATTCTGAACGATATCATCAGCACAAAATTCAGGTAGAGGATTTGTGCTGATGATATCGTTCAGAATAACGATGAAAACTTCACGACCAAACCATCCAGGTCAAAAAACAAAACTCCATCAAAATATTTTAAGTTCTTCCCATAGTGGGTATTCATATTAACCGTTTATTTAAGATATCTGAACTTTAATCTTTAGTCAAACAATTATTTTTTAGAAACTATTGTGTTTATCTGTTCTGTGATCTGATTAAATTAATGCTTTTCAAATAGTGATTAGCAGATAATAATCTAATAATTTAGGATGTTATTGTTAGCTATGACCATGACTAACTAATCGAATCGTTGCTTAAACGTTCACTGCGTCAATCTGGTCTGATTTATCTATAGATTATCGCTGTTGCATGTGACCTACTAATTGAAGGACATTATTATCCTATATATTAGTGTGAATCATAATTTTTTTTCATTTCGATAAGACACGCAATACTGGTCTGTATGTTTATGCGATCCACTTAATGGGTATAATTCACTTAATTATTGTACTAATCAAATTATTTTTACGTTTAGAAACAGATCAAGTTAAAAGCCAAGTTGCTTTGTTCTTACTACAGCTTTCAGATAGACTCTGTGGTCGGCAGCATCGCGTTCATGGTTCCAGTAGCATATCTGTAGGACAAATTAAATCCAATAGTTATTCTGTTGGAATTCTTATTCATAACATTTCCAAGTTGATTAACGAAATAATGTGTATATAATTGTTATAACTTGTGGTTTGTACCCATGATTCTTTGTTTTTCAACCCGTCGCCAATTGTTATAACGCTCGGTTTTACTTTGTCTAATGTTATAACGGTTGGGTTTCCACTTTTACACGTATGGGACGTTAATTTACCTTAGACGAATATCTACACTAGATTCCCCTTCCTGTGTCTATTCTACAAGACTCAACACAACTCAGATCAAGAACATGTGATTAGCCTGACCACAACGTAAATATATTCTCAAACCAAAAACCGACACAACCCAACAACAATGAACAATCAATAATAAGTGAGTCATAATAACAAGGATAGGGGAATATATAACTCATCTGACACCTGTCAAACTATCTACGTCTGACTAAGCAGACAGCCATTCATTATCACTCTCGCCCACACATCAATAATGATTATCATTGAATAGTTCATTTCAATATTAAATACTTGATTGTAAGGTTTCTTTAACCTATTACATAGAATTTATTTATCAAAGATCTTATTCAGGCACTAAATATTTCAAACATTATCTAACATCTGTAACACTTAACAACACAAATGAATACAAAGATGGATAGTAGCTAGCAGTGGAATCCAGGACGCGCGTTTCGTCCTGGATTCTACTGCTAGCCACTATCTATCTTTGCCTATAATGTTTGTAAATTAAGGCAATATCGAAGCAATCCGCACAGTATGCACATCTGCCAATAAGTGACTGATCAACTGCAGTCCTAAACACCAATGGGAAGATTCAAGTAAAACAATACCAAGTGAACAAATTAATACAGTTTATTTTAGCAATGATTATGTATGTTGAGTGTATCCTACTCAGTAAAGTAAATTTAAAACTACAGCTATTTAGTATGCCTCAATTAATCATAACAAATTAGTATCCAAACGTTCAAACTACATACATTGTATTGTGAACAATTTTGAAACTACCTGGTTAACATGTTTGGAGTAGACATGATACAGCTAGGGCCTGAAATTCAATAACCGAGGCTTTCGTATTTTACTCACTGAGTTATGGTCTTTTTTTAAACATCTAGTGTCCATGCTGCTGTAATTTTATCGTACCCTCAGTAAAATGACTGGTAGATAAACACCCAACAGCTTCTTCACTCATAAAAAAACAGAAACCTTTATTTCTTACGGAATAATAGTTTAAAGGGATAATGCAAATGGACTAAATTTGTTGATTATGACGACATAATTTACACCACTGTAATTAATAAATATATTGAATGAAATGTACTGATTTACCAAAACTTGTGCACCATTTGTTATCATATTTAAACGTTTATATGCCTGTTTCACATCTTGTTTCGACTGTTCAACAGGTACATTTTCCGGTAGAATAGTGGCTAAAAATGGAATAAGACGTGTTTAGAAGGCTTGTACGCACATTAACATAAATCTACACGAAATGTTTAAAATAATAGAAATCAAAATATGACGAATCAATGCTTTTTATGGGTCATTTGATTTTCGCTTCAACTAAAACTGAATTTCTTTGATTCTGTGCTATGACAGTTGACATAATTCCCCATTTTTATAGTTTGCGTTGTGGACTGATTTTACCACGAGAAATACTGAAAACCATCAGCCACTGGATAGCCATTCTTCTTAGCATGATACTAAGGACGTACCAGAGATCAAACACATGCTTTTACTAAAAAAACATCACAGTATTCAAAATTGCAGTGAACTTTATTATAAAATAAATACAATTGATAGATTTCCCAACCTCAACATGTTATTAGTTAATTCGTTCTATTCAACTATTCCGAATATTTACCTTTTAATAAACATAACGAAATGTAAAACTAAGTTCTTAATCATCGTTTCTAAAACGGGGAAACAGTAAATTTGGTTCCAGTGCAAAGTCCCAAGTCTCTAATCGAAAACTACAGAGTCAAATATTCTACACATTGTTGCTCGCTATCTTAAGTACTTTCACTGTCCACTCTTTACCAACCAAAGTCTAGAATCTAAGCGGACTAGATAAGGACATTTTTGTTTTTTCAATTCTTTAAACCACGTTGTAGAAAAAATGTAACTGAAAACAAAATCCATGCCATTGGGTCTCGTCATGAATTTGAATTAAGCAAAAACAACAACTGATACAGAATAACATGAATTCATTATATTTTATGATTTCACAAAATATTTCAGTCACATGGCAATCTATAACGTGGGGTATTTTGTCGGAATCGGGTCGACAAATCATTTCAAATTTATGACAATATTTTTTTCTGAGGATTAAACAGTCGTTAAATTTCGATTGCATAACCCTTATATACTCAGGTTTCTTACACCACTTGGAGGGGCATAGGTCGCTCGTCAGGGTTCCCCATCGAACTCTGTCCTTAGTTCTCCTCTCCTCCTCTCACTTTTTTAATGTCTGACTTCAATTCTTGACGCAATGTGTTCCCTGGTCTTCCTATTTTCCTTGTCCCTCTCAGAATTTCAAGTTGTAGTGGTAGTTCTACAAGTTTCATCTCCATAATGTAGAACTGTCTTGACGTTCGTAATGAACATTCTGATTTTGATGTTGGCTGACAGAAAGCTGTTTTGAGTTTCATATGTTTTTCAATTGTAAGAATATTCCCATTGTGATATCAATCCATGTCTCTACATCTGTATCCGAATTTCATTCTTCATCGACGATGCTCCTATGGTACGTGTAGGTTTCCACCCCTTTCATAGCTACACATCAAGTGTGATTTGGTGTCCTCTGTTTTGTATTTCAGTATCTTGCTTTTTTCCCATGTACATGCTGAGATCTACTACTTCAAAAGCTGCCACAACACTGAATATCTTCATCCACAATTATTGCTGTGCATGGGATAGAAGAGCCAGGTCATCTGCAAAGTTCAAACCGTCTAGCCACAAAAAGTTGTTCATTACATTCCGTGCTTCCCCTCAGATATGGAAGTCTTCATAATCGATTCGACAACCAGGAAAAGGGGAAGGTTCAGAGCAAACAGCCTTGTCTGACACCGGTTTACAATTAGAGTACATCTGTCAGCAGTCCTATATGCACCATTTTGCACTGTAGTTCGTCATATGAATTCCGGATGATGTTCACGATTTTAACAGCTACTCTCACCACAATGTCGAATAAGTTCCCATAATGTATCTCCTATCCACACTGTCATATACTTTTCATAATCAAGGGAGCTAATATATAGTGAGAAGTTCCACTCAATTGATTATTCAACGATGGTTCGTAGTGTCGCTATTTGGTGTGTGCATGACCGATCCTTACGAAATCCAAGCTGTTGATCTCGAAGTCGGTCGTCTACTGAATCTTTCACCAGGTTCAGCAATACTCTGTTGAACACCTTTCCTATTATTGACAATAGTGTGGCGCCTCTGTAGTTCTCATATTTGCTCAGATATCCAGTGTTTGGTGTTTTGATGAGATATCCTTCTTTCCAGTCTGTCAGTGACACTTGTTCTTCCTTCCAAATCTTCCTGAATAGAGTGTGGAGCATGTTTGCAGTTATTTGTATATCTGAGTTTAGTGCTTCAACTGGTACGTTGTCAGTTTCGACTGCTTTCCCACTCTTGATTTGTCTGATGACCGACCATCCTGATTTTTTAATGTCGTTGACTGGTCGTTCTGGTTTACTTTATTTCCCTTCCATTTTCTTCTTTGTGTCATATGGTTATCTCATGTTACCCTCTCCTCTGGAGTTGATAGCCCTTAAGCGTATTTCTACTTATCGGCCCTAAGGATTTTCTTCACTCTCATGTCCACTTTAGTGTATTCGTCCTGTGCCTTGACTTTCTCTTTTCTTGTTCGGCCGTTGTTAATTGCTGTCTTCTTGTTTTTTCTTTCTCGAGTATTGTTTATGGTTTCTATAAAATTCCACTGCTTATTATGACGATTATTGTAGCCCAGAACCTCCTGACACGTTGATGTCAATGATTCTCCATAGTGATATCTTCTTCGTTTAGTAGATTTTGTAGGGCTCGAAACCTGTTGTTGAGAGCTATCTTGAATTATATTTGTTTGTCAGTATCTCGAAGGAAGGCTGTATGAAACATTTGTAATCCTGTTTCTCCAGTTGTCTGTTGCTTCTCTACCCTCCCTTTCATCATAGCCACAACCAGGTGGTGATCTGAAGCTACGTAAGCTCGTCTATTGGGTCCCATATCTTCCATTAAAATTCTGAATTTTTTATGATGCTGGAGATGAAATTATGAAGAGACGCTTCAAGTGGATAGGAAATACATCCAGAAATCATCTGACTGCATCAAAAGGCAAGAGCTTACTTGAAATGCAGAAATGATAAGGAAAACAATTACACCAAGGAACGAATAGCGTCGGTAATTGGAGGCAGACATAAAAAAATGAATAGAACTTGGAAATAACTGTAGAGGAGAATGGAGAACAGAGTTCAATGAAGAACCCTGACGAGCGACTTACGCTCCTCCATGTGGTGTAATAAGCGTGTTTATGTAAGTAAATATGATCGATTTGGTTATGTATTATGACTTTTAATTATAAGAATTCTGCTAACCAAGAGTGATATTTACTGTTATTCTTCTTTTACCAATAAATATAAATCATGACAGAGTGATAGTTGAAATATAATATAAGCACGCTGATGATGCTATTTAGAAAGAACATTGAAGATCTATGAACAAACCCGTTTATTTCTGACGCACAATATCACCAGAGAACAAACATTTTGCTAAAAGAAATAGATACATGTACATCAGGATTTCCTCTATTATCAAGCTCCCTCTCTTCACAATTTGTATTATTTCAAAAATTATCCAATCATAGAAATAATAGAAGTGATACTGAAATTAAATTCTTTTTTTATCACCACGTTTCTAAACTTCAAATCTTAAGTTCTACTAGATTCTCATAGTTTTAAGAGATGTAATGCTTTTTCACTGTTACAATCGGCATAATTCTTTTTCTTGAGCTGTTTACAGTTAACAATCATCTCAAGAAATAAAAAAATATTTAGTTTCCTTATGAATTTTCACTTTTCATAAATCACTTACCAAAAATTCGTGAAGTTAATTGATCTAAACGAGCATTCTGTTCGGTAATTGAACATCTGAATAATTTGAAGTAAAACACAAAAATGAATTTATTTTGTGATTTGCACACATTCATACACACAGAAGCCCTGTCTAAACTGTCTGATAAGCAGTATTGAGAAATTGAGGAAACTCGTGAACCTCAGAGTATACTTTAGTTACTATACAAATAATTTGATGTATTAAAATTAATTGAATACGTAGTGAATATAAACTAATCACAGCGTTTAACAGAGAGTGATGTTTATTTTGAAGAAAATTAGAAAATCACTGAAACCTATGTTTTTTAAAAGGTAGTTAATCAAACAATGCTGTCTACTCTCTTCCTTCCTCTTTCTTCTGGTGGTCGACTGGATTATGAAGACCTTGACATTTGAGGGAAAACACACAATAAAATGGACAGCTCAAAATCAATTGGACGATTCGGACTTCGCAGATCACTTAGCCCTCCTATCGCATACACATGAACAAATGCAGATAAAGACAGCCAGTGTAACAGCAATCTCTGCATCAGTAGGCCTCAACATATACGGAGTTGAAACTGCGAGAACTACAACAACCACTATCAAGAAGGTGTAAGTATTTATAAATAGCCATCTACGCAAGATAATTAACATCCATTGGCCGGATACCATCAGTAACAGCCTTCTGTGGGAGAGAACAAACCAGCTTCCAGCTGAAGAAGAAATTAGGAAAAGACGATGGAAATGGATAGGACATACATTACGCAAATCATTGAACTGCACCTCGAGGTAAACCCCAACTTGGAATCCTGAAAGGAAGCGCAAAAGAGGAAGTCCAAAGAACACATTACGTCGGGAAAGAGAATCAGACTTGAAAAAGATGAACAACAACTGGAAAGAACTGGAAAGGATTTCCCAGGACAGGGTTGGATGGAGAATGCTGGTGAGCGGCCTATGCTCCTTCACGAGGAGTAACGGGTGTAAGTAAGTAATCAGTTGTTCAGGTATTATCAAAATACAATCTTCTCAACATATTTAGTTACATCAGTAAACATGGAATTGATGAAAAACGACGATAAATAATAATGTTCATTATATGACAAGGTCCCGAAAGATTAAATGAAACAAATTTTCATCTACAATATATATAGTATATTTAATACACAAAACAGGCTAGTTAATTTCCTTGGTTTTATATAATCCACAATAGTATAATCTCCTTTAAAAGTAAACTTTTTAATAGCTTCAACGATGGTCTGTCCAATACAGACACTCATCAAATTCCTATTAACAAAAAGATGATCTATCAAATCGTAGGAAACAATTGTTCGCACATATATTCCCGAAGACGTCGGTGTGTACCAAAGAAAAAATGGTTTACAATGACTCATTCAACTGATGGTAAATGTTTACAAAACAACCACGTTAAATTTTTGTAAAAATAGACTATGTGTTATTCTTTTTGTTCTCTAAAAAGAACAAAACATAATCCATTTTGTTAATGATATATTTCTCTCCTAATATATTTGTTAAACAATGATAAATTATATAATGTTTCTCTGTTGCTTATAACCAGGATGATAGGCGTAGTGAGAAAAAAATAATTTTTTAAAAAGAATTTAGCTAAAACAAATTGTAATTATGGATATAAAAAACGCCTCATTCAGTGTTTGATGGGCAAAAGCGAGTCAAACATATGCCTGGTTGGCGGGACTATTTACTATGGACGACCTTTGAAGGAATCTTGAATAACCTTGAGAAATTTCAGCCAATAAGGAGACAGACGGTGTTCAATAACAATAAATGATACAAAATGAAAAGCTTGTAGTGGATACATTTGTTTAATATGGTTTAAAAACCTTTTAAGATTAGAAAGAGGCTCTACCGTTACACATGTTACAGGAACTCATCCATGTGACTTCATAATAGTCGACCTCTGGAGCCATGATAAGGTCGCAAAAATTTATTCTAACCTCGACCACATTGCTTCTATAATATTTGTGTGTACTCTGATTGTGGGGTCTACAAAATGCGGCTGGTGGACGATGACACCTGGCATATAATCAAGTCTATGTAAGCATCGATTCATTCTCTAGTCATCCGTGTATATTTTAGTTCCCGGCTGCACATACTCTCGTATAATTGGTAGTATGGTTGTAGCTTGTCGGTTTCTATAGCGTTGGAAGTGTCTTTTTTTGAGACTATCTATCGTATATACCAAGGCCTACTTATGTTTATTTATGGAAGTGCTAATTACACAGAAAAAAATGATGAAAATGATAGTGTTCAGTGGAAATAAAATGAATCAATGATATTCTATTATTCATCTTGCTCTATTCAAAGGTATCAGAATCGACACCATGACCGCTCAATGCAACAATATATTTATCCAAAATTAGATCCAACTACTTTCAAAACAAATATCACTCAAGTAAATTATTTTTACACTATCATACAACATATTACATAAAAGTATTTAAGAGAACTGTGTCCAAACAACTAAACCTCCAGGTCACATGGGAAAAATGAGACAAGTGTTCAGTGCTTTCTGATTTTGAATATACCTATAGATAGATACCTATGATAAAAATTACTCTCATTTTATAAAAAAAAGGTCTCTACGAAAAAATATATTGGAAATACATGTGTTCGTTAACATGTCAAGTATAAAGGTAAATAATGGATGTCTTATGTATTGTTGTTTACCTATTAGCCACTTTGTCACGTTGTAGACTTAGTACCTGCTGTTTTGTTATTTATATGAGACAATTATATTGTGTCTGCTAAAATAAAAATCAAATGAGTCATTTTATAACAAGAAATCCTAGTTCATCAAAAAACCTGAAGAGATGAATAGCGAAAATATTAGACCAGTAAAAAACAACAACTGAATAATCAATTAGAATGCAGTTTAAACTGTGACTCAGACAACAAAATGAAATAGGGTCAATGTTTGTTTACAAATATATTCGAATGTTAAATATCCCAAACTGTAATGTACGTAAAAATAACGATTAGGAATTATTTTGTTTTTACCGGTTGTTTAGGCAAGAAAGATTAATGAATCATACATAATTCTGCACTATCAACTTTGAGATGGTTATTCAAATATTATTTAAATATTAATTTATTATTGAGCAATGACTACTAACCATGTGACCACTAGTGACTAGATTCATGAGGGAATTCTCGGAGTTCTAGTGAGAAGCCGTGACCAGTGGAGTCCAATCCATGTCGGGTAAAGACAGGTATCTACCTCAGTACAATGGAAGATGGTCGTGCAATTTTGCGGACAGTTTGAGGTTAGACCTTAACACTTCTGGATGCCAACCAGCTCAGTGGTCTGAAGTTTAAACGTTCGTGCACGAGACCGAAGGCCCTAGGTTTGAATTCCACGTGTAAGGTCGTGGATGCTGTGGTGTCCCATACTAGGATGAAACGGTCATCCATTGCTTCCAGGTTCTCAATGGTGGTCTAACATTGATTGGTTCATGAACTTTATTACATTATTAAACTATACTTATCTATGAATTTCGACATAAATTTTATCATATTTAAGACCTACTTATTTATTAAAATTAAGTTTAATTTTTACTTGTGAACTTTAAGTTTAAGTAACTGATGCCTGTTAAGGTAAACTTTCTTCTAAAATATTTCCATGTCGTAACTTGTTTTCAAAGCTTATCTTATTTAGAAGCAACGAGATTATTAAATTTAACTACTGAAATATGTATACGTCATTACAAATTGTGAATAAGCCTTTTTTAAAAAACGGTTTGCCTTTGTAAGTATATTCATGAAATAATAAACAATATCATGAAACTGAGACTCACATTTCTTGACATTCTAAATCAGTTACTTTTTCGGAATACTCCTCAAACGAAATATTGTCCATCTGTAACATAAATGTTGAAGTATCACAATTTATTGAGTTAATAAGAAAAAAGCTATGCAAACATCTGCTGTGTGTTTTTTCTACTGTCCACACATCACTTTAAATGAAATAACGTAAGTGAATTATAAGAACGGTTTATGAAAATTAGATAGTTACACTGACTAATCAGTGATTTAGTAACCGACTTCATGTTTGTTCAATCCTTAGTGTTTCAGTAATATTGTCAATGAAGTTGCAATCTTTCCACTAGTTTAAGCGACTCAACATGCAGGCACCATGTTTGAATGTTAGACGGAATTGAATTTAGTCGATGATAAACCATGGACCCTGATTATAACTGTCAGCCGGCATGAAACCAGTGTCCGAGGTTTCCTGCAGCCTAACTCTAGCCATTTAACTCAGATATACTGACTATACACTAAAGCAGAAAATCAGAAATAAAATCCTTTATTCATAATGTGAACACACCTGATTAGACTTCAAGCAAAACATGTTCCAAAAATACAAAAGTATTAGCAGAATCATTAATATACAATTATCATAAATTTAGATTTATCAGTATTGATTATCTCTATTAAAATCAAATCTGATCTAATTTTTCTCATTAGTACCTTGACTTTCACCTTGACAGCAAGTCATTAATTCTAATTTCTAATTTCCCTATTACGGGCGGCCTGCTTGAGCATCTGGGCTACCTGTTCCTGCCATCTAGATATTTCAACAAGTTATCTATTTTTGTTTGTTTTAATATATCATTATGTTTATTAATTGCATAACCTATTCTGCTGCGTTTCTGAAAAGTGTACAACCTTTCGTTGTCAAAGTTACAGAAAACTCAATAAGAGACAATATGGTTGCTGGCAATATACAACGAAAAGAATGTACATTATTCAGTTGTTCATTCACTGAAGTGCTGACATCTAACTGGCGATTCCTCAATATTCATCGCCAGGACCGACCAAGAAGAAAGAAACGGAAACTTGTTGAAATACTTTGCGCTGAGAATTCTATATTGTACCAAAATTATAATATTGAATAAAGCTAATAATAATAATAATAATACTGATAGACGAAGATTTAAATGATTATGGGGGCATTGTGATTTCCCATTGTTACAGATAGACATTTTTAAAAAGCTTCATCAAGAACAGTGTATAGGCAAAGGTTTGTCTACTACCTGGCTCCTTCAAATATTCAATACCCCATGTATTTTTATAGATTAAGTGAATCGAATTGTTACGAGCAATAAACAATACGAAGCAAAAATTTAAATGTTTACCAAAAACATATGCGATTCATAGAGAAAATCAGTTTTATTTTAAAAGTTAAATCGTTGACATTTCCAAATTGAAATCATCAGTGGAATAATGAGAAATCAAAAAGTTTAAAATAATCACCACTTAAGGTAAATCGGAACAATATATATTCAGGTGGTAATTATGATGTCCCTAGTAATATATAAATGTTTTTCAGTTAGATATTACTTGTGAATATGTTAGTAAAAGTGACAAACAGAGTCTTCCTCTCTTAGATAACTGAGTTTATACTAGATGACAATTACATCCACTGATAACCGTTATTCGAATCCTAATGACTGATTCAAGGATGACTGATTTCTACCGAATATTCAGTCATATTGCTTCCAACAGATAAATTATTGAAAATTAGGCGATAATGAATGATGAATGATCAATTTAATAAATGACTTATTAGAAAGTTGACTTTACAGTTTGGAATCAACAAAATTTTCATCAGATAAAAGGTGTAAAATTTAAATTAAATTTTAATCAAACTTACTTGTTCAACTAGTTCATTTTCATTGATAAAAGATTTTACTTTGTCAGTTACATCTTCCTTTTCAACTTCACTTTCAATAATAGTTGGAACAGCGAAACGAGGTTTCTTTTTTAATACTCCACGTGGTTCACTCGGGAATACATGAACTGAATCAGATATTTGCGAAGTCTGTTTAAAAAGGTAGATATTAGAATAAGCAGAACATTAAAATAAGCTACCTGAATGTATAGTCTTCAAATAATACTATCATCAATTTAAGTGGCTTGGAATTTCAACTTTCACTTACCCGAATAGCAATTTGTGTTATGTATTTATGATATGTATAATCGATTATTGTACTGATTGTTTGAATATTTCTGTTGATGTGTTGGACTGCAATTAAACAGTTTTCTATTGGTATATGTACATCCTGTTCGGTATATCCAACAGACATGTACCAAATAGGACGAAATGCACGTCCTGGATTCCACTGTTAGTTGCTATCTCTACTAATAATAAAACTTTTTTCTTTTCAGAAATCTATATATTAAATAGTTGTGAAAAGGATACTAAACGATAACATTTGAAGATTGACTGTCGAAGACTATCGTTTTGAATCAAATACAAGTCCTTATACAAGGTTTTAATCAAGCTAAGCTTACAATGGCAGAACGATTTCATAAATTACGCTTATAGACACCTAATGTTAAAAAGCATTTTACATTATAATCAGACGTCAGAAAGGACTATGCCTGCGCAATTCAATTTTTCCCACAAATCAAGAACTATGGTTAATTTAGTGAAAACGTAACTCATATTTTTAAAGACAACCCTAAGCAAACACAGAGCTTGGAAAATGAAGACCGAGCTTCTTTAGCAAAATACAAATTTATTAAACTAGCAGACTATTAATGAAAGCTAACGTATTCGGCTCGATTCCTTCTGTTAAGATCATCGCCAAAATATAAGTACACTCTGCTAACAAGTATCGAATAGAACGAAACTATCATTCTAGATTCTGCTACTAACCACAATCGCTTTATTCTAGAAACCTCGTAAGCAATCAATTCAACAACACTTTGGTTTTATCCCAAACTAGTTCTTGACTTCTTACTCTAAAAAGATTTTAGTGTATTTGTTAAATCTAAAAAAAAATGAAAACAACTATCAATCTATTCATTTGTCTAGTTTCCACGAGAAATGATGATAAGCTTCATAGTTATTAATCTTGTCAAAAATTTACACAAAACATATGGTAAGTTTGGAAACGTTAACTGATTTGAATTAATGTGAACTGTAAGTAATGTTCATTCAGATTCAAAAATTTTAAAGTCTGGATGTACTAGAAAACAGTAAACAATTGTATCACTTACATGTTCTGGACCCAATTATCTATGAGATTTTACTTGTGTATGTAATCGAAGAGTTCAAAACTAGGTAAAAACATCTACCAAGTAGTTATCATCTTTAAATAATTTAAAAATAACATCATTTGGTGCTTAATATTACAGTGAAATCAGAACTATCGTAATAAAATATATTGATTTCTTATTTAGGTTTAGAATTAAGTAAATAAATGACACGTTGATATCGGATTTCATTCTAACACATTATCAGCATTAATATAGAGTGATTACAATACTCGAATTTAATCAAAGTCCTACTGGTTTCACAGGCTTATATTCTACTGACGCGTGGTGCTTGAGTTCTACCATAAATAATCAAATTGTCAGAATTCACTTCTTCACAATCGTCGAATTCCACTAAATGCTGATGAAGTTTCTTTTTGTTTGTTCCTTATTATAACCAACCTACTGAATACAAACCATTCTGAATAACATTTTGTATACATATTGAGTTCAGCATAAGGTCATACTTAATCAATATTGTCAAAGTCACTGAATGTTTAAAAAATAATCTCAATATATTTGATGGAAGTCTTATTAGCGCTAGAAACATAGTATGTAATCAATCCGTAAGAAGCTGTAGAATAACCTCATTTTTATTTTTTTAAGTTTATAGTAGAATTTAAAGCTTGTTAATGGTTAGAAAGCACAGATAACTTTTAGTTACTCAACGGAACTTTACAATTTAATGGCTGAATTAGTGCATACAGAATATGAGTCAAGATGAAGATACAAACACTGATGTAATTTAAGGTAAGAGTATAGTTTTTGGACGACTTCGAGCGACGCTTAAGAAACCTTGGGGAAATTCGCCAGTTTGCTATGTTCGAAAGTGCGTTACTGGTGTGACAGGAGGTGTCCGGAATCTGATAGTGATGCACGATGTGCTAGGCGCTAAACCCCGCGACTGACTACTTGAGCGAGAAGGCACATTAGGCCATCGGATAAACGCTCAAATACTCATATTTATACAACTCTACCCTTTATGAAATTAATCCATTTCCTGGCCAATGAAGTGCATTTGTCCTTCAGATCACTACTGATCATCATCGACTGGCTTCTCATTAGGCTACTTCTGACTGGGTCACCATATCAGTTATTAATTAGTGTGAAGAATTATAATTGGTATTTAGAGTTGGATTAGGGTAAGGAATTAGAGTAAGGGTTTTCATCGCGAACTGACATCGACAATAATGACATAATTCTATATAACCATATGTTTAAATGAATTCCGCACCGAAATCCAAGACTCACTGTCTAATTTTATTGCTTCGTCCATAAATTATAGTCACGCCGTAAATTAATACATCTCTTTTTCACAGGTCACCATTAATTTTTTTAAACTTGAAGCCAATGAATAAACCAAAAAACAACGATAACAGTAACATTTCACTACTTTAATAAGTTTGTCAATCAGTAAGGTGATTCAGATAACTTATGTCACAAGATTAGTCACTGATTAGTATTACGTTTATTAAGAGAGAAAGTAACTGCTTATTGATATGGAAACCTTACATATTATAAACTGTATCAACAATGAATGACAAACAGCGTAACATGATTCACTCTTCTTTAAAAAATGTAATGCGATGGAATCACATTTATTTGATGGAAGTAACAGTGAATACTGAATTGAGAGATAATGATCGAATGAAGAATTCATTAGAAATATCAAAGTATAATCATAAAACTTTTGAGTTGCTCAAGTTGAAAAATAATGTTGAAGGAAATTAAATAACAGTGCATAGAATGGTATGTTAGTTGAATGTAATCTCCAGTTTTTATGTCGATAAATTGGAAACAGTCGGAACTGAAGATACAGTATGAGACCTATATGACTACGTGTGCACGATAATGATTGATAGCTTCTTTATCACTGAAATCTAGTAACACACTCAAACTATGCATCCATCGATTCCTAGGTCATAATCCGTTCGTACTTCTAAATAACCCTCCCTTATCATCAAGCCTAACCCTCTTTGTCTTTATTCTCTACTGGAAATCAGATACTCACTCTTGTATCGTGAAGCATTTATTCACATTCCTAACAGAAATCATAAAAATCTGTACGTGATAGACTTACATTTCACATGACTTAACAATCAACAGTACCATTGTTTGTATTGACCTCTACTGTTTGAATTTCAGATTGAGGAAAAATACAAAATAATTGGTTAGTGAGATTTCGTATGAATTCTGAGATTTGAATTTCGTGCTACCAGACTCTAATCATCAAGGTGTATTATCAGTGAAGTTGAGTGAATCTCTGTTACCTTCAAAATGCAACAGTGGTGTGTGAGTTGTGATACTTTGTTCCCAATAAATCCAATACTATATATAATATATACTAATATTTATGGCTTGGCTAGAAATCACTACAACGTAAATGTATTTCATAGTGAAATTAATGAAACCAGTTATGCATCAATAGTTTCGCTTACATTACTTACTTCATATTCTTCGAAGGTTAAATTTAGTGGATCCTTTATAATATTGTTCACTTCCATTGGCTCAATTGTTATGAGTGATTCAAACTCAGTGCTCTCATTTAAATTCAGATGTTTTTTATTCCAGTCCATATTGTCAGGAGTTCACAAACGTAAAGTAATTTGGTACGACTTAAATTTTATTACATTTGCATATTGTGTATAATGTGAAGAATAAAAAAATATTTGAGATATTTCGCTTATGCTAATCAACCGAAGTTAAATCCATTTCGTCTCGAAGTAATTGATAGTCTTTTAAAGTCTGAAAAAGACAAGGTAAAAGGTCAATTAGTATTACATCATTAATAACGTTGGTGTAGTTTTGTTCTCTGAGCTGGATTGTTTCGACTTGAAGCTCTCATTATTCTTTCGGACAACATCATTAGTGAAAAATCCAGATAGAAGTGAAGTGTTCGAACTTCGTGCTAAAGATATTCAGAAAAACTATGAATGTCCAATGACCAAACTATCCAGCTCCATCTTAATCACCCACCTGGAGTACTAATCTTTTACACCATCTTGTAATCATTATTAACGTCTTCAATAAACTCAAGATATTTATTATCAAAATAATATTCCCCACAAAGTAACATTAACAAGAGAATGATTGAAATCTGAGGTCAATGAACAACTGTTTCATTGTAGTTTGAAACTTCCTAGCAGTACTCATGCACAAAATTAAACACACTTGAACTTAAAACTTTCAGGTTTCTGAGCTATCATGATATTCCCATCACACAATAAACATCTTTTGGCTTACATATACAACCTCAGACAAACATAGATCTATCACGAATACCATAAAACATCATCAGTCCTGAGCAGCTCATTGGTTCAGTAGAGTTGTGAAACCCATTTCAGTGTAAGTTGTTAGAGAAGACATAGTTTTTTTAACAGTTTAACTGTTTGCTAAGACTAATTTCCATCTTGGATGGACATCAGCGATGAAAAAAAATGAAAATCAAGATATCCAGAAAACTCATACGAAATAACCATCAAATGTATACTGATATTTGTGAACCATCTTCGTCTTATAAAAGTGACAAAAAATGCATATTACATGTTATTAGCTAAGACAGAACGAAATTTCTTCAATAAATTATTCTGTGTTAATTATTAAGGATGTTCTAAAATGTTTTAATTGTTTATTTTGAAAAATTTAAATACATATTCTCATGTATGATGGAATACAACTAATCCTAGAGAAGATTTGTAGCTCAGATGGACGATTTTGGTGAACTTCTATCTGAAGTTTGTGCTGATGATAACGTTCAGAAGAACGATGAAAGCTCCACGACTAAACCATCGAGCTCAGAGAACAAAACTCCACCAAAAATAACTAATCCTATTTTTTTCTATCGATTGAGAATTGTTTTCAATGAATGAAATTGAAGTGTTGATGTATGTTAGGGCAGCAGTTAATCAAAGATATCGTTTTTTACAGGACACTTTCAATTATACACAGTTTGTGCTTGCTTTCAACAAAACGCACGGCTATAATCAAAATCCAATATTTAAATTCCATATTGAATACATCACCACACTGTTTCACTACCCATTTATCATATTCAAGGTTAAGATATCTGATAATTTAATTTTTATCAACAGAATATGAATCGTGTGTAGATTGAGATCCGACAAAACAATACCAGTGAGGATTCAAGTAGATGAAATAAGTCGACAGAATTATTTATGTTTACCAATCATACGTTCATTGGTCACCACTCCATTATTATTTCATTCAACTCAGTAAGTTTGATCTTGTATGGGATCGTGAGTTCTAAATGTTGAAATGTCTTAATCACTGATGAAATAGTCATTTTTTCCGACCAGTTTGCAACTAATAACCGTTTGTGTTGAAAATGCAATTTAAAATGCTTACAATAGTTGTTTCGAATGAACAGTGAATCACTTCATGAAAAGTAATCCAAAACCATCGTAAAATATAAACAATTAGAGATCCAAAGAAATTACATTAATTTAATTTTATTTGTATGTTACTTGAGGATTGATGTGTTTTATGCAATCATATGAAACCCAGTTTCATTAAAAGGTATTCATCGATATACAGTTTTTTGTAAACAACAAATTATGATTGCAAACGTTTTATTATTAGCTAAACTTACAAAATCTCAAATCTTATTTGATAAAACGTTTTTTGTAGAATACGTTGTAAGCAAAATGAAACTGTTTGTTGCAGTGCTTATTTGTTTACTTTGCTTTTATCGATGACTTATTTTAATACCCTTTATTTTATACATATATCTTGTGTTGATACACGAAACAAAGGGCAGTACTATTCTTCAACATACGTCTTAAAAACTCCATGATGAATACAATTCCAGTTAAGATACAATGCTTAAGATCTTTAGGTGTATGAGGTTATGTGATATATATTGATATTACAAAATGATCATCCTATGTTTCACATTTCCAACGTCAACAACTTCACGTCTATCAAGACTGCTATATAGTATGATCGGGTCTGAGCAGCTCATTGGTTCAGTAGAACTCTGACAACCATCTCAATACAAGTCATTAGAGAGGATATATTTATTTAACATTTGTACTATTTGTTAACACTAATGTTTATCAACAATGTTCAAGTATACTGAGATGAAATACTGTGGATCGTGCTTTTCAGTAATGTATAATATAAAGATCAACACAGTTCCAATTAATTAAGATAAAGTGCTAGAATTTAGTAATATTCCTGAAGAAGTTCAGGTTACATACCCTAATTAATCTTCCTTTAAGAAGATTGGAAATAGGAATTATATCTTGAGGCTTGAAGACTCGATGAATAACACGATAGCATAAATACAAAAGACATTAGTCACTCAATAGCGATCAATCAACTATAAATATATCAGTTGTACAGAACCTCAGTTCCATCTGATTAATACAGTACTAACACCGCAAAACATGAAGACGAGTGTCACGGCATCAAACTCATCACAATCAATCCATTCCATCAGTATTGCAGGTTCATTTTGCTACACAGCTCCATATGGCACCAAATCTAGGTTCAGTGTTTATTGTCAACCAACTCAAATTACCAAACATCTCAATACTAATGAAGTGCTACCAACTACGTTTGAGTTTGCATGCATTCGTACGGACAAACAATTGACAGTGATCAAGTTGTACTGTTCTAAACGGTATCTCACTGGTAGAACACAGTGAATATTGGAAGACGTGTTACCTTTAATTAGTTCTTGAAGAGCTATTATTTATATTTGCATTGCATAAAAGTTAAATAGCTGGACCGTTGTATTTTATATTTATCTTATTTTAAACTTCCAGTAGACTCAAAAACACTGTTGTTATAAATTTTACTAATCTTGAGTGATTGCTAATTAAATATCGACCGGTTGCTCTGATTTTCATCATTTCTGCCTTGGATGTGGATGAATTGTAATTTCATATCCGTGATGTGTTGTGGTCTAATGACTTATGACTATTTGAGATATATCTACTTACTGGATACCTGAATAGAGTGGGCATGCATCCTAGTTCAGTTGAATCGTCTGTCTTTACTTAATTACTTTACTTACTCCTGTAACTCCTCATCGAGGCACATGAGACGCGCACCAGCATTCGCCATCCAACTCCGCTTGTAGCTCTGCTAGAATTACTGCTGGTCCCAAGCCTGGGTGAAATGGGAGGGTTTGGCAACCCCATCCCGTAGAAAGAATCTTGTAAAAAGAGCACCAACCAGAATAAACAAGTTAAACCATTTGAACTCTGCCCTGGGAGTTAAAGGAAGAACTATGACGCCTCAGAGTGAATCTTCTGTCACTGCTCGAAATTAACTGTTGTCTTTAAAAGCAAGTCATCGGTTAATTTGAACGTTGTTGGTCGCAATACTAGGGTTATTGGATTGCAAACCAGTTTGTTTTGATGAGATATAGTTTTTGGTTGGAGTAGGAGGTATGAGAGAAAATTCAAGGACATGATTACTGATAACAAACGTCTTGCTATATCTTTCCAACTGGCTAGAAGAAGGAATTTTCAATTCATACACTTATTTTACAAAATGTCCATCCAAGTAACGAGTCGAAAATAGGACGAAACGTGCATTTGTGATACTAGTGCTAGTCACATTCAATCTATTCTATATGAATTAACTAAGAATATTGATAATCGAATTATGATTAGTCTGTAAACGTTCGTAAGCTGTAGATGTTGTATTAACATGCCCTACACTTTTGGCTGAATAAAAATTATTGGACATTTATTTCCAGGTTCAAATATTAAGTAGGAAAATAATTATCTCTGTCAACCAAATTCTGTGACCAAATTGGAAAAATCAAGTGAGATTCTATACGTTATTTAATAGAAGTAGTGCTCAGTGACACGGATTTAAAACTCTTAAAAGCTATACTCACTGATGTTATAGATATGAAATGCATATGTAAAATTGATTACGTGTTAAATCGATTTACTTAAGTGGACATCACCATTCACATGATTGTAATCCCATACTATACGGAAAGAATTTTGCCAACCAAGAAATCCAGTTTATTCAATAAGCAAAGTACCTGAGAATCACAATCAACTGTCTATTGTATTGGTTCTAATGGAAGGTGGGAACAGTTATTGAGAAACTATAAATTCAGAATTACAACCTATTGAAAAAGTACTTTCATGATTTTATGCGAATATGTATTATCTTAATCTAATGTTCGTTCACAATACTTATGAACAGAAAAGACTAAAAAAGTTTACTAACAAATTGTTTACACTGTCATAAAATCTATTTTCACAACCAACAATACATAAGATATGCAATATCCATCTTAATTATCGTATATATAAGAAAACAAAGTAACCCTTTATTTTATATACATTGAGACTTCTCTACTTTTATACATATATTTATGATATGAACTAAAAGCATCTTTGAGTCAATAAAAACAAAGCAAAAATAATAATCGATTAATGTCCATTACTAACATGAATTAATAGTCAGGTAGAGGAGTTATAAAGAAAAACAGAACATAATTTCATTTATTACATTAACCAATCATAAGTCAATAAAAATGAAATCATATGTTGAAATTTAAACCAATCCAAACTGTCATATGATTAGTAACGAAATATTGGACAGAAAGAGTCACGTGATATAATTCATTATGTAAGTAATGTAACTTGAAATTATTTCATAGGGAACAATAAATTAATTTTTTTTTCTATGTATCCACCATAATCATAACAATGTCTACAGGTCTCAACAAGTTTCCTATTAGTGTGGTTCAT